ATTGAAATGATAATGAGGTCGAAGTTGGTGTAACTGAACTAAACGAGAAGATAGTTTCAGAAAATTTGACATCACGACATACAAAAAATTATTTGATTTCTAGATCATAAAGCTTATAGACTTTTTGACCAGTAAAATAACCAACAAAGAAGGAGTGTTTGGCTCGAGAATCAAACTTTTAGTTATGTTTAACAACAGTAGCATTACACAAACAACCAAAAACTTTTAGGTGACTAAGGGATGGTGATTTATGATATAGCAATTCATAAGGAGACTTAGAATGTAACAATGGAGTTGGTAATCATTTAATAATATAGACAACAGTCAAAACACATTCACCCCAAAAAGTGATTGTCAAGTGAGCTTGAAAACGTAAAGTTCGTGCACCATTTAAAATATGACGATGTTTGCGTTCAACTATCTTGTTTTGTTGTGGAATGAAAACACAAGTTCGTTGGTATTCAATTCCATTAGAGTGAAAAAAATTCATTGGTTAAAATATTTTTCTATTGTCTGTCCTAATTTCTTAACTAAAGCATGAAATTGTTTTTAGTAAATGATATAAAGGATTGCAAAATTATGTACGATAGTAAGAAAGAAACAAGCCCCTAAATGAGTAGGTACTCGATGTGGACCCCAAACATCGCAATGTAATAAGTCAAATGGAGAACGAGTAGATATGTTACTCAATGGAAATGCAAGACGTGTCTGTTTAGTCAAAGGATAAACATCACAATTATTATCAAAGGAAACATTACGAGAAGGTAATAATGAAGCGATTAATCTAAGGCGAAAAGGTGATGGGTGTTAAGACACCTGTGCTATAAATCTTTTGGTTGTGAAACTTGATAAAAAATTGGTGGTTTTTGTATTGATAAAATGTAACAGAGACCAGTGTGATGTTTACCCGAGCCAATCACCTTCCTCATAGTCAAGTCCAGTAATATAAAAAAATGGAAAACGTAAGGGAAGTGAGTTTGCTATAAGACGATAAATTTAATCAAAAAGAGAAAACATGTAAAAAATGTTTAAGGTAATATCTGAGTTAAAAGGTATTGTTCCAGCGGAATGAATTGATACTGGGGGCTCATTGAGTAAATTGACAATGGGTATAGATGGATATTTTGTTTGAGTAAAAGATGTGGAATATGTTAAGAGAACTTATAAACTAATATTGTACTATTCTTTCAATATTCTATTTTGTTAAGTTTGTTAGGAAGTTAACTAAATACAAGTTAGTTAAATAAAGTAGTTAGACTAAGTATCTTTAGTATTCACTTAAATGTAATTGTATATATAGGTATGTAAACTCATATGTACATAATACAGAAAATACAATTCTTCTTCTTCATCATTCTCTCGTCTCCTTCATCTTCTTCCTCTTCTTCTTGAAGCTCATTGATAGAGCTTCTTCACATGGTATCAGAGCCACTGAAGAGTTTGAATCTCTGAGTTAGTTTCTTCATAATCTGAAGACAAGAGTTCTAAGAATCTTGAGTTGAAGATCGAGTGTCTGTCTAATTCGAAAAACTGTTAGCTGTTGAAATTGATCAAATCATGCCTTCAACTGGAGATGGAGCTTCAAGCGAAGTTCAACAACAAATTCCAGTCGCAACTACTGCCAAAATAGATCACAATCATCCTCTCTTTATACATCCTTCAGATACTCAAGGTTATGTTCTGATTTCAATTCAATTGTTGGGTTCTGAAAATTATTCCTTGTGGAACAAATCTTTAAAACTTGTGTTACTAGGAAAAAACAAGTTAGGATTTCTACTTGTAACATGTAAAAAGGAGATGTATTATGAATGTTTACATGATGTATGGGATAGATGCAATGCAATTGTTCTTGGATGGATTATGAATACTGTGTCTAAAAGTTTGATTAGTACAGTTATCTATGGATCTGATGCTCATTCAGTGTGGGAAGATCTACGTGAAAGATTTGATAAAGTAAATGCATCTAGGGCCTTTTATCTTCACAAAGAACTAGTTACTATGTCACAAGGAACTTCTTCTGTGTCAATCTATTTTTCAAGATTGAGAGAGTTATGGGATGAGGCTGAAACTTTGATTCCTTGTCCTTCATGTGCCTGTCCTGAGTCTAAACAATACATTGAGCACTTACAATTTCAAAAGTTGTGGCAATTTCTGATGGGGCTTAATGAGTCTTATGCTCATGCAAGAAGCCAAGTTTTGATGCAGATTCCAGTCCCAAGTGTAAATCAAGCTTATGCTATGATTGTTAGTGTTGAGAGTCAAAGAATACATGGTGCAGGAAATACATTTTCACCTGCAGAAGCTGTATCTGAAACAACATTGATGAGTAATACAATGCCTCTTAGTTCTTCTCAGTCTGGACATGGTGGATACTACAACAATAATACAACTTCCTCAGGAACTGGAAGGGGAATTTCTAATTTTCAGAATAATGGATATAGAAATAAGGGGTATGGAGATGGAAGAACTGGTTACTCTGCGGGAAAGTCTCAACTCTATTGTGAATTTTGTCATTATAAAGGGCATACAAAAGAAACTTGTTATAAGCTTCATGGTTATCCAAAGAAGAAAGGAGGAGTATCTTCTTATGCAAATAATGCTGCTTCTGCTGGAAATGAGTCTGGAATGGTAGACTCAACTTCAAGTTCAAATACTAGAACAAATGAGTCATCTAATAACACTACTTTAGGACAGGGTGTGTCAATGTTTACTCAAGAATAATACTATGAGATTTTACAGATGCTGAGAAAAGGGAAGAGTAAGGAAGTGGATACAATGGCCAATGTAGCTACTGCAGGTGTATCTGGAACATCAGGTAATATTACAGCTCTAATGTCTGATATGTCACATATTAATTGGATTATAGATACTGGTGCTTCCAATCATATGGTTCACAACTTTGGTTTAATGAGTCAGTCTGCAAATCTTGATGTTCAGGGAGGTATGAGAGTTAATTTACCTACTGGTGATCAGGTGTCTATTAGTCATATTGGTGAATCTTTGGTTCTTAAAGACAAAGTAGTAAAGGATGTGTTGTTTGTTCCAGAATTCAAGTATAATCTTTTATCAGTGTCACAACTAACAAAACAGTTGAAGTGTGCACTAGTGTTTTTTCCTGGTTTCTGTATTTTTCAGGATCTCTTCAATGGGAGGGTCCTAGGGATTGGTAAAGAGAATAAAGGATTGTATATCCTCAATACTGCTGCCACAACAAAGCTTTCAAATGATCAAGGTTCTTCTGGAGAATGTGCAAAGGAAGCTGCATGTAAAAGGATTAGACCTATTAGCTTTAATTCTTCTGTTGATTCTATAAGTAGCCTATGGCATAAAAGACTTGGACATGCTCCTCTCAAAGTGTTAAGTAGAATAAAGGAATTAAACATTCTGTCTGTACATGATCATCATTGTTCTATATGTCCAATTGCCAAGCAATCAAGACTGCCTTTTCCTAGTAGTCTTTCTCATTCAGGTTCAGTTTTTGATATTATATATGGTGATGTATGGGGACCTTACAGAGTGCCTAATCAGATGGTAAAAGGTATTTTTTAACTCTTGTGGATGATATGTCCAGATATACTTGGATTTTCTTATTGTACACTAAGTCAGATACTGTGGTAGTGTTAAAAGATTTTGTAAACTTGGTAAGAAATCAGTTTGGTGTAGGCATTAAGTGTATAAGAACAGACAATGGAACAGAGTTTGTTAATGGTCAAATGAATGATCTATTCAAGACTAATGGAATTATACATCAAGTTCATGTGTGTATACTCCTCAACAAAATGGAGTAGTTGAGAGAAAGCATAGGTCTATTCTTAACATGGCAAGAGCACTAAGGTTTCAGGCTGGTGTACCTCTACAGTTTTAGGGATTTTGTGTCACTACTGTTGTATATATACTGAATAGATTACCTACTGTGTTGTTACATGGACAGAGTGCTTTTGAAAAGTTGTTTGGACAAGCTCCTAGTCTTCAGCATCTTAGAGTGTTTGGAAGTCTATGCTATGCTACAGATCCTAAAGTTCTAGACAAGTTTGCACCTAGAGATGTTCCAGCTGTGCATATGGGATACTCTATGAACAAGAAAGGTTACATTTTATATAGCTTGACTAGCAAATCTTTTTTTATAAGCAGAGGCACTGTGTTTAAAGAAGATATATTCCCTTTCAAGAGTCTTCAATCATTTCCAGATCATCTCTTTCCTATTCTAGATCTTCAAGATAGCTCATATACTGAGTCATTTGAATCAGAATCTGATAAAACCTCCATTCCAGGTTTAAATCCTACAACTTCTATACAGCCTCAGACTTCCTCTAATATTGCAGCACCATTAGTTCCTCTAAGAATATCCTCTAGACAATCTAAACCACCTATTTGGATGGACTCATATGTGACTCAAAGTGCACAAAGTGCATGTTTATATCCTATGTCACAGTATGTTACCTATTCTAAACTAGCTCCTACATATAGAGGATCACTTGTTGCATATTCTCTTATTCCTGAACCTCATACATATAAAGAGGCTTGTCAAGATACTCATTGGGTGAATTCCATAAAAGATGAGATTAATGCTCTAGAAGACAATAATACTTGGTCTATTGTTCCTTTACCTTCAACAAAGGTTCCTGTTGGTTGTAAGTGGGTGTTTAAAGTTAAGTATAAAGCATATGGAGAAGTTGAGAGATATAAAGCCAGGTTAGTGGCAAAAGGGTACAATCAAAAAGAAGGCTTAGACTATACTGAGACATTCTCACCAGTAGCTAAGATGGTTACAGTAAGGTCAGTAGTGGCTTTAGCTGCTTCATGTGGCTGGTTTATATTTCAAATGGATGTTCACAATGCTTTTCTTCAAGGTGATCTTCCTGAAGAGGTTTATATGCAGATCCCTGAAGGTTTTGCAAACCAGGGGGATAAAAACATGGTTTGTAAGCTTCATAAGTCCTTGTATGGAATCAAGCACCAAGGCAATGGAACTTAAAACTAACAGAGGCTTTAGTTGAGATATGGGATTTTCACAATCTCATTATGATTACTCACTCTTTACTAAGAAAATAGGTAAAGATCTTCTAGTCATCTTGGTTTATGTTGATGATCTCCTGGTTACTGGGAGCAGTTTGCATCATATACAACAAATAAGGGAGGAACTACAACAAAGGTTCAGAATGAAAGATCTTGGTGAGCTTAAATATTTTCTTGGAATTGAATTCTCCAGATCTAAGGAAGGTGTACTGATGAATCAAAGGAAGTATGCTTTAGGACTTGTGTCTGAGTTGGGATTAGCAGGTTGTAAGCCTTCTTCTACACCCTTGGAGTTTAATCACAAGCTAACTTCTACTGTGTTTGATGAAGTTATTGGAAAAAATACTAATGCAGAAGACTTAATCCTTGATGAGTTTGGAAAATATCAGAGACTAATAGGAAAGTTATTATACTTAACCATGACTAGACCTGATATAGCTTTTGTAGTACAGGTTCTTAGCCAATATATGCACTCACCAAAATCATCTCATATGGAAGCTGCACTTAGAGTAGTGAGATATATAAAAGGTACTACAGGCCTTGGATTGTTCATGCCAAGTAACAAAAACAATGAAATGGTAGCTTATTGTGACTCAGACTGGGGAGCTTGTGTAGAAACAAGAAGGTCAGTTACTGGTTATATGATTAAACTAGGAGGAGCACTGGTGTTTTGGAAGTCAAAGAAACAAAGTACAGTATCAAGGAGCTCATTGATAGAGCTTCGTCACAGAATAAGAAGTAACGTGATTAGTTGCTCCGTTGTCCAAGATCCATGACCTAGTGAATGCATAATTAATTGAAAAATTATGAAAAAGAGATAAACCAGCTGCATTTCCATAGCGTCGCGCTATTACCGACATAACTATTATTTTGCGTGAACAAACTTATTGCCTGAGCAATTTGTCGGAGTTGTTCTACTGAAAATCATGTGAACCAGCGGTATCTTTCGAGTTAATCTAATTGTTAGATTGATGAGTTTGTCTATTACATTAGCAATATGAGAAGGATGACCCTGAGATTCGTGTTGTTGTCGATTATTTTGGCTTCTGATTTGTTGAGAGACCAAGTGTCATTTTAAAACTTACATCTATATTCCATATGACCTTTTCTATTGCAATGCTTGCAATGAAATTTCAGAGTGCGGCAATTCTGAATTGTGTGTTGTTCTCGATTGCAATACTCACAATGCTTATCCTTGAATTTGTTGAAAAAACTATTGGTACGCCTTTGAACTGCAACCGCATTAGATAAATTTTCTGTTGATTACGACGTCATTTGTCTTTGTGTTTCCTCTTGAATAACAAGTGAATATGCTTGTCGTACATCAGGTAGGGAAGACATCATGAAAATATTAGATCAAACAACATTATAGATATCATTAAGACCCATTAGAAATTGCATTACACGGTCTTTTTTAATTTGATCGGTGTGTGTGCTTTAATTTGATTGCAAGTGAGAAATGTTCGAAATGTATCTCACTCATCCCAAAGACCTTTGAGTTTTGTGCAATAGAAAGAAAAGTTCATATTACCTTGTGAGAGTGAAGAGAATGATTTTTGAATTTGATATATCGTTTGTGCATTCCTATGAGAAAAATGATCTTTAAGATCTTGTCATACTTGGTGAGTCGTCTTGGCATAGATGACTCCTTTAGCTAAATCTAATTCCACCGTGTAACATCCTAGAAACTTTTTGAGCTAAGACTTGAACCATCCTTTGTGGTGAGTAAGTTTTTGCCAAGAAATTTAAAATTTTCATTAGTGTTAAGGTCAGGTCACTAGATATAGCACCTTGAGTTCTAAAAGAACTAAATTGGAAATAACAAAATCTGAAATTTGGAGAGTTAAGCTAAGTATGATTTCAGGGTCAACTTTAAACGACCATAACTCTTAGCACGGGATGAATTAGTTGTGCTAAAAGATACCTTAGGAAAAATCTTTGAATTATCTTTTCAACTCCACCAAGTTTGTTAAATTTTGAGTTCGGATGAGTGGGATATGGTCTTTTGAGTTTAGTCTGTCCATTTAAGGAAAGTTAGTCGAAAATAGTGAGAGGTATTTTTTCTTTTCCTTATCCAATCAGATTTAATTCATTTTTAGTAATATTTTAGAGGTCTAATCCTACTAATTTCAGTTTTAAAATCCTAATATACACCTAGGGGTTCAGTTTAGAGTTCAAGAAGAGAAAAGAAGAGAAAAGAGGAGAGGATCAAGTGTTCGTCGATATTCTTGTGTCTTATTGCGGAATTTCATGGTTTTAATCCCTAAGAAGTATGTAAGGTTTCATAGTTTTGGGTTCGTTCACCCACACATCAATCATGTTTTATTCAACGTAATTTCGTTCCTGAAATTTAAGGATTTAAGTTCTTGATGAGTTCTTGAAGTTTCATTAAGTTTTGATGTAAGATTCTACTTGGGTCAACTTTAAACAACCATATCTCTCAAAATATTAAGAATTATGTGAGCAATAACCTACCCGTTTAAAGTTAATGAAATTTACTTTCCAACGCCACTAATTTCTCATCAATCTAATTTCTGAGTAAAAAGTTATGACTAGTTTAATAACCTATACGGTGTTGTTATGAATTAGCCGATCGAAAAATATTTAAAATGATTATTTTTGTCTTTTTACCTCCAAGAAAACCATAAATGAATTTCTTGACTAATAAAAGACTAAAACAATCATACTTTCATGTTCACTAATGAAAATGATAATCCTTGGTCATAAAGGTTTCAAGAAACTAATTCAAGTATCTTAAGAAAGGTTTTCTTGACTGTTTACGTTCAAGCTAGGGCTTCAAGTCTTCTAATCAAGTTCTTCTAAAGATTCTTCAAGAATCTTATTCTTCTAGGTATGTAAGTCTATCATAATGTTAGACTAGTTTGTCCTCAAGCCCTACATCTACTTTCAGATAAGTAAAACAATAATCTAGGATTCTACCCCTAGATTTGAGTATTGTTAAGATAAGTTGATTTTGAGTTCTTGTTAATTTTAAAAGTTATATTCCTAATTATCAAATTTATATATTTTTATTAAGATCATTCATATCATCAACCGTAATTCTTGAATTCATAATTCACATTCAGGAGAGAGTTAAGAATAGAGTTAAAGAGAGTATCTGAGTTCAATTCTGAATCCTTTAGATCAACTACCAATTTGAACTAAGTTTTGAGTAAGTAAGTAAGGGAATGAGAAGAGTCGTATACATGAGTTCCATGTAATATGTAGACCTCCAAGTCGAGTCATTCATTCCCATAAATTCCGCATGGACTCCACAGATTGAGTATCTTTGAGAGGAGTAGCATCTGCAAGTTCTAAGCCTTCAGTAATAAGTTTCTAAAACATTTGAGTTTATATTTCTAATCATGGTACTATAATATATTACCTATGGAGTCCTTGTGTTGAATTTTTCATGCCCATAATTCTACATGAACCCTATAAGTGTAACAATTTTGAGATGAGCAGTGTCTTTGAGTCCTTGAGTTGAGTAGTTCATGTTCATAATTCTACATAAACCCTCCAAGTTGAGCATCATGAAATTATCTGTAAACATGAGATCACAAACCTTAAATCCATAATCCAATTCAAGAAAATTTAAGATCAAAGTTAAGGGAAGTTAAGAGCCAAGTCTAGAAGTTAAGAGCAAGTCAAAGTAAAGTTTATAAAGTTTTCAAAAGTCTTTCACAAACGTTTTCATTTTTTTTAAAGACTTAAATTTCAAGTTGAGTAAAGAGTAAAGATTGAAGTCATTTCTTCAAATAAATGTATGTGGACTATGTATTTTCAAAGGGTTTAAAAATATTTTTACATTTGAGTAAAAAAAGGGATATCGATTCTAAAAGAGATCTTTTAAGCTAAGTTTTGAGTAACTATCTCAAACCAAAGAAAGAAGTTGTTTTAAAAACATATGAGCTAAGTATATTTTTGGGAGCAGTATTGAGCACCGATATGGGAGGTTTTAACCAAACTAAGCCATTATATAAAGTCATTCACCAAAATAATATATTTTTCTAAAATTTTACAAAACTAGTATAAACGTATTCAATAGTAACGTTTTAGCATATATTTTATTTTTTAAAAGTTGATGGCGTCAGATTGATATATGTTACTCACAGTAACGTTTTACTCCTAAAACGTTACTCACAGTAACATTTT